GGGGTGACACCAAAATAACTATCAGTCATTTTGGTGTCACCCCTCCAATGGTGGCACCCGGGTGCGGGCCGTACCTCCCTTGTAACTCCACTGGAAACTATAAATCCCATAACTCATTGCAAGATTCTCACAGCCACAGGTCTGACTCCCAGAGACAGATGTATCGTGGGCGTTGTGATTTCACCAAAGCTGGAGGGCCGTAGTTTGCTCACCTATGGGGCAAAAAGAAAAGTGCTTTTCTGCCCCAAAGAAGCTCCTGTGCTTCCAATGACTGCAATGCTGAACGGCCTTGTCTCCCGAGCATCATTCAAACCAGCCGAAAATCGTAAGATTTTCGGCTGGTTTTCTAGCATGCTCCTTAGACAAAGGACGTGCGACAGTACAATAGAAACGGTCGCACGTCTTCATTCACACTGCACGATTCTCGTACGATCGCGGGATTTCCCGCAATTCTCGTACGAGAATTGTGCAGTGTATGGGCACCTTAACATTCAATTTTGGAATGAATGGAGATTTGCCAATGAAAACCACATTCACTCTAGAATTTGTTATAGAAACATTTTTCATTCTTAAACTTCAAATTTTTTTGCCATTATGGAGCATTTCCAACATTTGCATTTTTAATTCTATTGATCACAAAAACAACCCGAAAAAAAAAAATAGAAACTTCTTTTACATTAGAAAAATATGGTAATTTGCACCTGACTAGAAAAAACAAAAATATCCGCTGTCTAATCCTTACAGTGAAAGTTTCAGAATTCTGCAATGATTCTATAGACAATTAGAGATCATTACTGCAGAGCGAATTGTGTCTCAGAATATGATTATTAATCTCCTAAGGAAGGTTATCTGGGTATGCGGAGCACGTTCTATGCTGCTCGGTGTAATTTAACCATTGCCAGTACTCTGCTGGAATAAGTTTTCATACTGGTAGATCATAGCAGAGTACTGTACCAGGTGAGCCATTGTTTATTGCTAAAGTTTGGTGTTTAAGAGACATGTAAGTTATTAAAAATGCAAACTTTTGGAATTCCTTAGATCCCTTTGTCAGGCTTTATAGATTCCTGTACTGAACTGTATAAAGCTTGATAAAGGCATCTAATGAATCCTGAAAACTTGCATCCTTAATATCTTAAAGTGACATTAAACTCAGGAGGTAAACCTTAAAAATGCATTCAAGTTCCATAACTATTAACAACAATGTATCTTATTTGTTTATCACTCGGCTGTAGATCCTCAAATCATCTCTGAATTGGTGCAGACACTTTCCTTCCTTCTGGAGGGGGGCTACTTTTGTTCCCCATAGTCCCTGTGTGTGTTGTAAAGTAGTCACCGCTCCAAGATCACTCCTGTGATCTTCCTACAATGTTGCATTTAGTTTACTTATTTGTATTGAGATTGTAGTCCATCATGGGAGCGAGTTTGGAGTGGTGGCTACTTTACAACACACATACGAAAAAACGGTATCGGTGCATACCTAGGAGATATGCATTACAATTAGCTCCCACTCCATCCTTAAATGACCGCACCGCACTAAACATCAAGCCTTAATGCTGTCTCAGGAGCTGACACTGTCCTTCCTTCTTGAGGGTGGCTACCCTTGTTCCCCATGGTCCCTGTGTGTGTGTTGTAAAGTAGTCACCGCTCTAAGCTCGCTCCTGTGATACACTGCAATCTCAATACAAATTGGTAAACTAAAATGTGAGATTGTAGCCAATCATGGGAGCGAGCTTGAAGCGGTGACTACTTTACAACACATGCACCGACCATGTGAACAAAAGTAGCCACCCTCCAGATGGAAGGACAGTGTCCGCACCAATTCAGACATGATTTGAGGATCTATAGCCACTGCTCCAAGCTCACTCCGATGATGAACTACAAACGCAATACAAATGAGTAAACTAAACAGGAGATTCTAGTCCATTATGGGAGCAAGCTTGGAGCGGTGGCTACTTTACACACACGGGGACCAAGGGGAGCAAAAGTGGCGCCCCTCCAGAAGGAAGGACAGTGTCCGCACCAATTCAGAGATGATTTGAGGATCTACAGCCGAGTGATACACAAATAGGATAAATTTATGTTAATAGGGTACTTGAATGCATTTTTAAGATTTAAGTCCTGAGATTAGTGTCCCTTTAAGTTTCCCAATAAAAGGGCATCACTTAAACAACAAACTTTACCGGGAGAATATAAAAACTATTCAAAAGGGCAGCATTGCGGGCTATCTTATGCCAACCAATCAGCAGTCAACTAAGAGTATGCCACTGGAAGTTGAATTCGTATGGGGGGTTTGCACTTTGCGCTGTTCCCAAGTTCACAAAAGCTCTTTGTTCTTATTTGAAAAACTCCTAACTGTCCATAACTGAGCAGAACTCCTCCCTCTACCTGTGTCAGCTGACTCCTACCCCGTCACCGGATCCCAGAAATTCAAGTTGGACAACTGTGACGTACAAGTACACAAGGTGCTACTGAGATGTTAATTTATTAAATATGCATCCCAGCGACCCTTAAGAAAAACTAGATGACCTCTAGCTGTAAGGATTCCAGACCTCCCAGCACTGGTTTATTGTGATCATAAACAGCACAAGAAATGTAACAAAACCAGCCAACCGCCTTAAAACCCAAACTAACATTTTTCCTCCTGTTGATTAAACAGATCTTCAGATACGAAAAGTATTTACAAATATTAATGTTAGTAATTGTTATACCTCATACACACCAACATTCCCAGATTGCGAATCCTGAGACTGAGTTGGTGCACTGCTGCAGAAATTGCACAGTGCCCATAGAGGCCACTATATAATAGACAAACCGTGGCGTGTGTAACAATATTGAGCATAAATATTAGTCAACCCTGAACCCGATACAAAGACTCAGAAGAGAACATTGTAAATAGGGATAGGAGAGAAAAGAAATAACCCATTATTGTATCTACTGAATTGATCTCTACTAAAGATCAACATGCCAGATACATTTAATATTCCAATGTATACATGGCAACTGTATATAAAAAAAAACACATGCAAATGCAAACATATACTGCACCCTCAGGCCATGCAAAGCAATGAAGCTGTAGTTAAAAAAATATAATTGCAGTATATAAAATAGTCGCATACAGCAATAAAATCTGCTAGGATATACAAGTGGCTTACTGTATTCCTGTATACAAGGAAGGTGGGGATGCTGTATACCAGTATAGCAAGAAAATAGATAGGTGGATTCCTGATGAACAGGTAGATCTATTAAAAGGCTAGAGAAAATATTTAGCAAGCAGGAAGTAGGCTCATTGAAGGTAGGGAGGGAAAATAATGGACGAGTGGACAAGCAAGTACAGTAAGCCTAGGTGCCCCTATGGGACACACACACACAAAACAAATTGAGATCAAACATTATATACATAGAACTCTAGACTACTGATACCCAGCAGCTGACATACATAAAAGCCAGTCCAGAAGGACATTAGAGGGTAGGAGCATATACAGAGAATGACTATGCACAGTACAGCAAACAGGTAGTCTATACCAGGAAGGACACAGGTCCAAAGCAGAGGCCATATTGACAGAGAGAAGTTTATGGATCGCTATATAACCTGGGTGTAGCACAAGGACATTACCTGCAAAGACAACCAATTGCGCAGCCTTGAAGCTGTCACTCACCTGTATAGAGCGGACCCAGGAGCAGCAGCAAGAGAGGACACCGCATATTGCAAAGGGTCAACCGGCTGTCTCTAGCAGTCTCTTGGTTCAATCGTTGGGTATCCCTTGGCTTGCTCTCTGTCTGTCTCTTGGCTTAATATTTTGCGGTCTCCTGGCTCAATCTTTTGCGGTCTCTTGGCTCAATCTTTTGAGATCTCTTGGCTCAATCTTTTGCGGTCGCCTTGCTCAATTTTTTGCTGGTCTCTTGGCTCAATCTTTTGCAGTCTCTTGGCTCAGTCTCTGGCTTGTCTGTTGCTTCTCTTCTCCCTCCGCCTGTGTGCTGTTATTTCCTGGTACCAGCCTGTGTCCCCCTTGCTGGAAGTCTATGCTCCCTCTGCCTCCTCCAGTATCACCCTTTTCTCTCTCCCAGCCCTGGTTTCACTCTGCTCCCAGCTGCTGACGTCATGTTTTACTATTATCATACCAAGCCCCGCCCGATTCACCTGTTCTTCCCAGGGATTAACCCTCTCCCTTCCTCCCCTTGCAACTCAGCTACTAGAAGCCAGCAAATCTAGGGCACCGCTTGATCTGACATGCGAGGAGAGGACAGTCAGATCTAATGAAGCCTGCTTGCTGGAATTACATGCAATATAATAATAACTGTTAGCATCCTGGAAAAAAAAAGGGGGAAGGGATACACAGTGGCAGCATCTCGTATAGAGAAGGCAGCATCAGTAGGTCGGGGAAGGAGGGGGTTGAGGATGTTGGGGGGATACATTCCTTCATTGCATTTCATGATAAATTAGAACTCATTGGGGGAAGTGGGACCAGAGTGGGTCTACTAGGATTTATTGATCAGTTGAAAAGTTGACACCAGTGTTCAATAAATCAGCTTTAATTTTATAAGCTTATTGTGAGTGACCTTTCCTTATCCATCTGTCTATAATCTATTTGTCTATGGGTCTGTCTGTCTAGTGATCTGAAATCCATATTTACAAATGCATCCCAGAGGGGTCCAGCAAGGTTTTTTTTTATTTACTTGGTGGTTACAGTAAGCAGAAGAATTTTTAATACATAAACGTTCACATTTTTTTGTAGCACATCTTGGGTTCATAGGGCAAAGAGCAATGTGCGGAATGGAGAATGCCAGAGCAACCAATTACAATCCAACGTCTCTGCTCTAGAAGCTGAAATCTGATTGGTTGCTGCGGGTTGCGTCACAGTCTTTTGCATTTCATTTTTGCATTACATGAAGGCTTAAAAGGCAAAGTATAGTAATCCTTAGCAACCAGTCAAAATTCGATTTTCACTGATCTGATTATTATTATACGGGATTTATATACTTCCAAAAAACTGCACACCACAGCCCTCAGCAGTTCTCTAACATCAATCGTTTGCAGGTTGCCATCATCAAAAGGCCACTGGGAAGTTTCCTCACAAGACATGCAAAACACACAAACAAACAGACAGACAGATATCGCATTGTCCTCGTGTATTATTGTTTATTAAAAAATGAATGTAAAAACTGCCATTAAAAAACTACTCACATGTTAATAAAAGAGGCTCTTAGGAAGGGGGTATATCCCCCGAAACGCGTCAGCTAGCGAGGCAGCTTTTCTGGGATCTGCCTTGTACTATTCATTCAGTTATTACCATGTGAGTGTTTTTTTATGCCAGTTTTTATGTTAACTCATTTAATAAACGGTAATACACGAGGACAAGGTGCTGTCTGTTTGTTTGTTTGTTTTGCAGGGATTTATATAGTGCCAACAGTTTGCTTTGCAAAGTAAAATGATACAGTATTGTTACAATGCCATTCAATACAAGATGATTAGGAGGGTCCTGCTCATCAGAGCTTACAATCTAAAAGGGAAGGGCCAGTGATACAAGAGGTAGTAACTATGAGGGATGAGCTGATGGAGAATGTAGAAGTACAGTTTTTAGGTAGGGGCAGGATATGTCTGTGAAGGTTCTCATTCGTCCAGGTCAAGGTATAGCTGTAAAAAATAAATCAAGGCAACTGAACTTGCTTTAAATTTCTTGAAGACGTTTCGTTGGTCATCTAACTAGCTTTCTCAATTGAGAATTCTGAATTGAGAAAGCTAGTCGGATGACCAGAGAAACATCTTCAAGAAAAATACAGCAAGTCCAGTTGCCTTGATTTATTTTTTTACAGATAGATGCAGGGTAGGCTTTTCTAAAGAGAGGTGTTTTCAGGGATCGCCGTATCTCAGGGGTAGGCAACCTTGGCACTCCAGCTGTAGTGAAACTACAAATCCCATAATGGCTCTGCTCTGGGAGTCATGCCTGTAGCTGTCAGAGTCTTGCAATTTCTCATGGGACACAATGAATGTCTATGTTGCCTGCACCCGCCGTATCTGATTTTAACAAACTGCAAATTTGGTTGTTATTTGTTACAGTTACATCACTTTGCAACATTTTCACTGCCTCAGGAACTGGTTTATTAACTTACTAAATGCACTAATTTTTAAAATGGAAATGTTTAAGGGGTTCTTGTGTTGATTTGTAGGGCACCCTTGTCATTAAGGGGTAATAGCAGCCAGAGGGGGACTAAGCTGGTAGAAGGAGGACATTTGCCCCTCCCACCCCCCCCCTAGGTCAGTACAAAATAAGATGTGATTGGCTAGTGGCCCTAAGATGATATACTTCTACATTCAGACGTTGGTCAGAGCCGTACCCACAGCCAGTGACAGCTTTTAGGTATTATATAGATACCTGATATCATTGCAGACTTGTGATCACCACGCTAATCTTGCTAAACCACTCCTTTCCACTGTCCAGCCATGTTGCGTACACTCTCTCTGTCCTCCACAATAAAGTCCTATAGCTCCACATTTGGACCTCGATGAGAGGAGGACTGCAGTCACTGAGAGCTATTATATAGATATCTGTTCCCTTTTCAGGTTTGTACTGACTGTTCTTATCTCACTGACCCCCTCACCTCCACTATCAAGGCCTGTAGCCTCCACTTTCTCAGTGTCCTCCACTATTAAGTCTCATTGCATCTTTCTCTCTTTCTTTCACTATAGCTATCAGACATCTCATTGATTGCCCATCTTGCTAACTCCTGCTTCCTCATTCTCTACTATTATTATTATTATTGCTATACAGAATTTATATAGCACCAACAGTTTGCGCAGCACTTTACAATATAAGGAAGACATTACAATCACAATACAATTCAAGACAAGATGGTAAGGAGGGTCCTGCTCCTGAGGGCTTACAATCTAAAAGGAAGGGGCAAGTGATACATGAGGAGGTAGCTGTGTGGGGATGAATTGTTTTAGAACGTGATGATTCAGTGGTTAGGTTGAGGTGGGATAGGCTTCCCTAAAGAGATGAGTCTTTAGGGAAAGCCTGCAGGCAGTCAAGGTGGGAGATAGACGGACAGGTTGGGGTAAAGAGTTCCAGAGTATGGGAGGAGTTGACAAGGGAGCTGGAAAGCAGCTATCCAACCAATGTCCAACAAGAGAGCTATCCAACCAATGTCCTTTAAGAAGAAACCAACATTTCACCATTCCTACTAATCCCTGGGCCACTGCGGCACACCTTATGTGGGACTCATTCTCTAACCAAGAGAAAACTGTCTCTAGTCTCTACCATGAAATGGACAGTCGGTTTTCTTTATTTCCAAAGGCTAAAAGTTCCTAGTTCTACACTGATGGCTACTGAGCTCATATAGGCCAGTGACACCATGAAAATATAACAACATTTCTTAATTTTCCAGCATTTTTAAAGCTCCACAAAGGACTCACATTCATGGAGTCACCAGTTGGACAATAGAATCGGCTACACTACAATGAGGCATGCTAAGATGTTGGTGACATTTGCAGTTGAAAGTCACTTCTTCTACATGGCACCAATGAAAATCACAATGTCGGGTATTCCAAATTTTGCAGCTATATTAGTTTTTTTTGTATCTTAGTTTACTTATGTAATAACTTCATCTTGTGGAACAGTTTTAATTTGTTTTCTGCCTCAGCTTAGCAAATGTATTAAGTCTAATCAGGTGTAATTGCTAAGTGCCAACTGACAAATTAAACAATCTTTAGGCATGGCAGTTTGGCTAGGCAGTTTCATTACTACGATGCTGAAAGGCCATACTGAAATTTGCACATAAAGGTCAGAAAACTGAATGCTGGAACTCACAAAGCTATAAGAATCTATTTAAAACACTTGAACACTTTGCAATGTTTTATCAAATAGCACCATACCTCCCAACTTCCTGGGAGGGGAAAGAGGGACACCTTCAGCACAATGGGGTGAATTTACCAAAACTGGAGCAGACGAAATCTGGAGCAGCTGTGCACAGAAACCAATCAGCTTCTCTGTTTCCTTTTCAAATCTTAAATGAACAAACTGAAGAGAGAAGTTGAATGGTTACTGTGGGCAACTGCTCCAGCTTTTGTCTGCCCCAGTTTTTATATATTCCCCTCATTGTATTTAAGCAACTTATTCCGCCCCCGTATGCGGACCATTATGAATTTTTTATGCCAAAAATGAATGGCTAAACCCAGAATTATTTTTTACCATTACTTTCCTTTATACTGGTTTTCGAAATAGCAAACAAGATAGGTAAGCGATAAGATAAAGGTTTTAGTGCAGAATAACACTTGGCAGTTAAAAAGTAGCTTTTTATAGATATTTGTACACCGGAACAAAAAGAGGGACATCTGAGTAGGAAAGAGGGACATAGAGATTTGGGTCCAAATGAGGCTCAGTTGGGAGGCATGTAGCACTGATTGACTACCGACCATCCAACTGCCAGTGACATTGTGCTATGAGTCAGTTGTCCATACAATTAATGCTAGTTGTATCCAGCTTCGTTTCAATGCTTAGTTTCAGTGCTCGGGAAAATAGCCTTTGGCCAGTTTATCAGTAGTGTGATATTCTGAGACTTGAAAATCTACAATAAATATGGACACCAGTATAGTGGTGCTTTTGGGGAGTTTTTCAGATTCTCTTAGGATGTGTAAAGTAATACCATTGCTATTGTTTGTGTACTCATCAAACTTAAAGTTCAGTGGTGATATTAATCATTTAATCCCACGATAATAAGTGTAGCACTAGGGGTATTTGTACTATATATACACATAGTGGCTTAATGAATGCT